AAATGCTATGATGCAAGTTTTGTTGGTGGTACACACATGGGTCCCATGTCCTGTTTCCAGCGGTTTATTTTCTCAAATGTTGCATCTTATTATAAAAGAAATATCAGAAGCAATGCTACTTTGTGCACTGAAAACAGCTCGCCACGGCATCTACTCTGAGTCAGCTCATATTGATCAGGCATCCTTCATCGTGGCTTGTCGTTGTGATATACTGAGCTATCAATCCCAGCCCCTTATTGCACCGTGTGTCTCAGTTTTTTAAACATTTACTGGGCAGCTCTAATCAAATCCGTTAATGGTTTTCGGGTTCAGCACTTTTTTACTGAAAATTGCAAATCCGTTTCGCCGTTCCTGTGGTATGATACAGCCAAACCAGCTGAATCGTTTGTTCGTCTGAAGGCAGTCAGAGGATGTCTGCTTCTTTATTGCAGATATCACCGGTGCAGGCGATACGGCTTTTGTGCGATTTAACTGGTATACGGTTTGAAATTGATGATTGCTGAACTTCTGACGGCAATCGTGAGTTATATTTTCACAGTGTGCTTGCAAATTCTGTGCAATCATCGTTGTTTCCGGAACACCGCATTCATTAATTCTGCCCGTAAATACGTTTTTGATTGGCTGTTGTCATCCGGACGATGAATAGTATCGATGATCCTGCTTTGGGTCCACATCATGCTCGCTCTGTATCTGCACGGTGTCAACGCCAGGCTTGTCTTGTTATTTTACACTGGATATTCTCAAAGCTCAATTGTCATTCATTTTCGCCTAATATGTGCTAATTTAAGATTCTCGGGTAGTTCTGGTGAATCACCTTACGTGTAGTGTGCGTCTGTGGTTGTATGGATTAGGAAAGAGTATTGTAAATGATTTTTATGTCTTAGCTGCTAGCACCGAATTCTTATGCTGATTGAAGAATCGCCCTGTACTAATTATACTCACAGTAAGTTCAGTCAGTAACTGGCTGTGCTGAATGATTTATGTTGTTGTCATTCAATATATTAATTTTCTTTGAAATAATCCGCTTATTTCTATTTATTTTCGCCGGAAAAGCTCATTGATGGTTTTCGTCGATGCTTTGCGTGCTTTCTGTGTGTGCCTGCTGAGGTTGCTGTAACACTGTAACTTGTTTTTGGTATAGCGTATTGATCACTGATAATGAATGCTCTAGCACGCGCCTAATCAGTACGTTCAGTACTTGTGCAGTGCTGTGCACTGTAGTTATTCAATATTGCAGTAAAGTTGTTCGTCGCAAAATATAGTTTCAGCCAAATTTTTGCTAATTTTAAAACTTTTTCTTGAACTTTGGTTGTACTTTACATATGCTTGTTGGAGTTGGAGGAATTTTGCTGCTGATTGTATGTGCTACACTTTTCTCGCTGGCGGTGGACTTAGTCTGATACCTTCAAAAGAAGAACTTTCCGAGCATCTTCCTTTGATCCTGTTGTACATCTGGTGTCTCAAGTGAGTTTATTAATTCAGCTGTTCGGAGGTTCTTGTGTAGGATCTAATGTCACGATTTTTTGTCACTTTCAAAAGTGTCCCATCCTATTTTGGTGGCTCGCTGTTCATGCTGAGGCTGTGAGACTGTTATAAATTGAATGCAAATGGATTTCCGCATAATCACTATAATACACTGTTATACGCCGTAATTCTTGTTTGCAAAAGTGGCATGATTTTTGCAGAGTAAAAACTGTGGACTTATACGGCTGGTAAGCTTGAGCAACGGGTACAGTATGCTTGCAGTGGTCCGTATGTTACGATAATTTGGAGGGTCGGCTTTCGCAGGCAAGTTTTGCTGCTTCCGTATGTCTCCGTGGTTCTTATGGGTTCCTTTAAGTGCCTTGTGTTTGCTGTTCAGCTGAGGAGGAATCTGTAAATAAGGTTTCATCTAACTTTTTTATTTCATTCACTCCCCTCAGTAGTATTCGGCACCACAGCGGATCAGAAATTGTTGAAATACTCTCCGATGCATTTGATTCCTTTTGGGTATGTTTCGTTGCTCAGTATCACTGTAGCATGGGACGCATCTCTCCCTGCTATGTGTTGTGCATTATCTGATGAGCGGCAGTGTAAAAGTATCCGAAGGCAACTGTACTGCGCAAGAAGCGCAACAGTTGTTGGGCATTCCTCTCACATTTAGCATCTTTTTACATCGCAACATCTTTTTTTCCTCATTCTTTAGTTTGTGAAGAGGTGTTGCTTAAAATGACTTTTACAAAATTCCAAAAATATTCGACAAGCCAACAAGATAAGTTGTGCGGAAATCCAGGCTAAAAAGCTTCAACAGACTGAACTGCACATCTTACTGCATGTCAGTGCACCCGGGATTCCATGTTGATGATGGCTGGGCTAAAAAAGTTAGGTCAGTGTCTGGAGCTCCTCGCCAATGATATTTTTGTTTTGCTACTCTCTTGAAATTGACTTGTTGTCTTCCTATTATTTTGCACTGCTTTCACGAAATCACAAAACTACGATGTAATTTACTTGACGCTGTGCAGTGTTGCATTTGCATGTCCTTCTGAATACCACTCATCAGTTTTACTTGTCATTCACTGTTCGTACATTTTCGTTCTCCTTATACACTTTTGCACAAATTATACAAAAAATTATTATTCTTAGTTCTTGATCCGCGAAAGACAAGTTATTCGTCCGCACAATTCAACCGAGGAGCTGCATAAAGTAGAGAGATCAGATATGAAAATGGATAATCTCGAGACCGCTCAAGATCTGCGCCACTGTTTATTCTAATTCAGCTGTTATTGTCGTTTCTCTACATCATTTATCGTCTATCAACCAAAAAAAGAATTGGTCAGTGCACCGACTGCTGGTGCGAAGTTGCGTTTTTTCGCATAGTTCTACACCGGTTTTTGTTGCTAACCGCACCGGTTTTTCCGGCAAGTGCTTCTCACTAAGTGGACTGAGACTGGCCGCCAGGACTGTCAGGAAACACCCCTTTAAATTTTTTTTTTAAAATTGTCAAGAAACACCCCTTTAAAATTTCGAGGTTATGTTCCTCGTCCGCATAGAAATTAAAGGTTTCAAATTCAGTTCCGAGATGTGCGTGACTTTCACGCACGGCCCCATGAAAGTTTTTGGCGGAAAAATTGCTAACTGGAGGACCAGCAAAGTTGAAAAACTGAAATTTTAATGAATGTTCTCTGTCCAAATACCGCGTAGTTGCACAATTAACTTCGTGGACCTCGAGGATCGGTATATCACAAATTCTAGCTACAGGGTTTCCGAGCGTTTTATTATAGCACGAAATACTGCAAAAACACATGATCGCACGGGCCCGTCCGGTGCGCGTTGCCAGTGACTGGTGTGGTACCGTGGTGATTATCAGGATGCAGTAACCCAGTAAATCGGACCATGATTCTCGCTCACTGTCACAACTAATTCACTGCGTGCATGTCTATATTTCATAAGACATTCTACGGGTGGTAGTGAATGCACAGTATCCAGTCGTTCTCCAATTGCTAGATACGGTCACACAAACATTCCCTCTACAATGCGCATTTTTGCATAAACGTGAGTCTGTGTTGGCGGATTCGATATAGTTGATGTGGTAAATAGTGCTGATTTCGTGCTAGAGGTCGGGTTTCTAGCCTCTCTAGTGAGACAGTCAGTCCTTTACAGTTTATTCAGTTGTTTCAGTAACTAATACAAGTACATGCCAATAAATGTCTCTGCTTGCCTTCAAGCAACACTGCTCCCTCAAAGAGGTGCAGTTCGAAAGCTTTATCAGCGAGCGTTCATTGTAAAATTTTCGTGGGCAGTTTCCTTGTGGCTTTGCTTATCACAGAAAGTTAAGTATGGATGGAGATTTGAATGCTGAATACTGGCTTTGAGGGCTGTGAAGTTAGGAACGGCTGATGCCTTTCAAGTTATGGTTCATATGACTGTTGCGGGCAACCACTCATCAAAGAAGCGAACATTGCCAAAGAAACCTCTGGCTTCTTTCAAGTTTAGGATCCCGAAATATGAAATGGTCGAGGCGCGTGAAATTCTGTGTTGTTTGATAAAAGATTTTGGACCAGGTAGCAATGCGCGAGAGTTTTCTGTGTGTGTA